GCCAGGGCAAACAGCAAGGGGTATGTCCATTGAGCCATGTGGTTGGCCTGTAATGGTATGCTATACACAATGTAAGACACTCCAGGGTGGCATTCTCTGGGTGAAAATTAAAAGGATATTTGTAAGGTGATTAACTGAATTTGCAAATAAACAAGCCTATTTACATTTCTATGATATTACTTTGCAAACTTACTAGATTATGGCTAAAGTATTTCCATGACACATATATGTAATTAAATATAGGATAGCAAAGAAATACTTGCTATTTATAGGCATCAGCAAAGTAGGATAAACATGCATAAGATTCATCCAAAATAAAGAAATATTGAGAATCTTTAACATAAAAAGCAAGAGACTAGGAATTAAGGGGAGGCTGTATTTTAACACAAGACTTATTTAAATTCATGGTATTAATTAATTTTTACATTTTCCAATTCTATCTTAACCAAAACACAAAACCTTAATTCTTAGCCTATGTAGTCATTCACATAAACCATATACAGAAACTCAGATAATGAACTATGTCCTTCTCATTTATGTGATTATGTTTATGTTAAAATGCAAGCATTAAAGAAAAGCAGCTTTAGCAGTGACACGTGGGGGATTGCCTCCCCCTAAAGAACGTTAGTAATTATTGCAACTAGAAAATTACAAACAGCACTGATGCCTTTACATTCTCATTTCCTCTATTACTCTGGGTACTCAAGCCCATATACTTTAGTAAATAAAATGATCCTTGAGAGTAGCTTTGTGGTTTGTTGACCTAATTCAAGTGGTAGCATCAAGTTTGTTTGTAAGCATTTGTTTGTGTAATTCCCCTGCCAGAAACAGATCCTATGTACTCAGGGGCATTAAATGGGAGAAAATTATCTCCTTAAAGTATCCACACAAAATATTTGACTATGATTCAAATGCAACTATTTTTAATTACTAACGATTACTTCTGAAAAACAAAACCGAGTGATGAGTGAAATCTTGTATCAAAAGCTTTTCCTTTGTCTATGTTGTTTAATTACCAAATGATATTACCTACCAGCTAAGTATAATAGAAACTAGAAAATGTCTATAAAGGTTTACAAAAGGACATGAAAAGATATGTTGAGAAATTCATAAAATAGGGGAATCCTTATATTTGTATATGTTTCTAATGTAGAGCGTATGTTTAAGCACTTAGACACATATTGCCTCCTTTTTCAGAGCAAAATGTAGCTTCTCTATTTTTATGGCTTTCTGTAAGTCTTGCAGGTCAAATGTAGTGTCAGAGGGTACAACTGTCCTAAGTACCAGAGCCTGAAATACAAGTCAGGTAGCCTGGGGCAACCCAGTATGCTATAGCTAGATTCCTTTCTCTTTGAGATTCCTGATATCACTAATGAAAATTGTACTGGAATTTAATAAGAAAAATGCTGACATGATCTTATCTATATCTGCTCAAATAGCGCAAATATACCTGCTTCATAACTTCTGCATTAATTGCTACTTTTAAATCTTAATAATCAATACATCTTTAGTTGCTACAAACTATAAAATTGCCCTAGTTATGAAAATATGAGATTTCTCAACTGTCAAGATCATGTCCATTTTAATACTATGTATATACAAAACATTTCAATAAATATACAAGTCTAAATGATTTCAAAATATAAATCATCTTTTTTAAAGTTCAGTTCTAGAAAATGCTTTGCGTATCTGTTTAAAATAACTGATTTGTTCACATACACTGCAATAAAATGTCATTTAAATTTTCTCTATTTGTGGGAATATTATGATTACTTGTTTGCTAAATCTCTCAGTTTCACTGAAGTAATTTATCAGGAAACAAACCAGTAGCTTATATATTCATATCATAAATGCTAGTTGTTTTTTCTGAAATATTTTCTAATAGAAGTACAGGATTTTAGCTTTAAAAAAGCAATAAAATGCATTACTTTAGTTAAAAAAACCAAAAAAATAGAAAAACACAATTATATTTTACACCACTCACTGATTGCATGTTTAAATGCTTTCCTATTAAGCAAAACTATTTATTATTGATTTGTAAGATACTTAATATCAAGCTATGAAGTGCCTTCATTACATAATCTTCCTAAAGTAACAGGTTACAAGTAGTTATTAAAATGTCTGAAACTATCTATCCTGCCGTGAGCGTATATAGTGTTTAAGCAAATACATAACAATTTACATGCATGTACTGTTTTCACACTCAGAGTCTTTTGAAACAGACTTTCCTATCTATATTTATTTCCATTCTTTATTGGGATTAGAAGACCCCAAGATGATGCCCTGTTGGGCAACATATGTGTGGTGTAAGCCAGAAAAAAACTGAGGAAGTCATTTATACATTGTGAAAATTGAGGATATAGGAAAAAAATCATTGCAGGCTGTATTTCCTCACATAGCTGAAGACTAACAGCCTGGAAGCAGCTGTAGTGGTACCCTGACCCCTGAAGGAAGGAATCAGGAGTTAACTTCACATTCAATTTCCTACACAATATGAACACCAAACCTCCAAATTCACTGGCACAATATATCAATGTTTGGGCATGTCCTGCAGAAATAAGAAAGTCACCTCAAATATCAGACCTCAAAATCTCATTCCACAATCCCACCATCTGATTTGAGGTGAGAAATCTTTCTAAAGTTACTTAGGGAGTCTGTAGATCATACCCCTGACTTCACAAAAATGAAATGCAAGAATCAAACAAAATAGAAAGAATCATCTCAGCACTCATAGAGAAAGTCTTCTAGTCATCTTTGCAAAACAAATGCAAAGCAAAACTAGTACTAGGACTACTAGATAAGACTGAAAATAGCCAGGGTTAGAATATCAGCAGTTCTCATGTTTGTGGTGTGTGTGTGTGTGTGTGTGTGTGTGTGTGTGTGTGTGTGTATGATCTATTTGTGGGGGGCAAATCCTGAAACATCAGAAGGCCTAAGAAGCTGATGTGAATTTGCTTAAAAAATAAAAAAAGGAAAGGAAAAGAAAAAAGAGAAAAAGCACAGCTCCAAGTAAACCATGAGGGAAAATGAGATTTTATACTGCAGTTGTTCCCTCCTATGTATAGAGAACACAGTGCATTCATCCTATCTCATGGTGAAAGTCTCCAATGACTGCAACATGTCTTGTAATGCATTCATTAAGTAAAAATTGAATATAGAATGGTTTTGATTTCTAGGATTTGTGTTAACAATGAATTCTAAAGCATGGTAGATTGTTGTTTTAAATTTAACATGATGTTGCTACCTTTAAAGATTTTTACTTCTCTTTTTCCCTGAGGGTTAAAATGGCCCAGAACTAGGTTGTCATGGCAAAGATAAAGGTAAGAAGCACTCATTTCTGACACACCATGGAAGCAATCATCATTTTTTATGAGGGAACCACCAGACAGAAATCTGCACCAAGCTCTACCAGGAAAATGCAAGAGAGTACACTAAATGGTCCTTCCCTTCAGTCTCTCTTAGTCATTTCAGTGGATTTAACTTTCCACTCAATTGAGGTCACATATTTCAACCATAGGGAAAAGAACTATGACCTTGGCTGGAATCAGCAGCCCAGGATACTCAATGGGGCACTTGTGAAACATTGCAGACACATTTTGACTCTCCACGGGTGTGGCTAAAATTGCTCCCATCCAGCCCTAAAGCATACATGATCTGCTAGCCCTCAGAAACTCAGTGTGAGAAAACTCATGTTAAATTTGCCGCAGAGATCAAGGTTTACAGGACCCTTGGAGCTAATCTCTGTCTGCCCTCCTCTTTTAGCTGTTACAAGCCTTCAAAAGTTAACACGGTGATGGAGGCTCTCTCTATACAATATTCAATCTCACTATCGTTGACTGAAGCTCACTGATGTAATGAAGTTACATAATCACCGATTATGCACGACTTCCATCCATCTTCCTACATATCCACATATCTTCTCCCCTTCCCTTCAGATCAATCTACCAGGTGAGATTTATAACACATGCAAATGCTCCATTCTCTCCTCATAGGTACTGAATATGGGACTTTAGCATTGCAGTACAGTGCACTGAACCACGTCATCAATATCGATTTTTTATCCCATTTCCCAGGCAGAATATGCTTAAGAATCCTGAGTGCTGTAGTCTCTAACTTTTTAGCAAAAGGGTAAAATAGCAGATAGAACACATCTGCAACTTAAGGTTATGAGAGGTGGGTAATTGACTGCATTTCCCAAGCCAGTTGCATTTCAATGAAAGGATCATCTCCACTTCCAGACCTTTGACTCCCCTGCACGTGGGTCGTAGCTTCAGCTATTTAGGGTATTGGGTAAATAATTATATTATTGGGCAATCAAACTTAGGAAAGAATGTATGATGGTGATATTTAAGTACTATTGCTCTATTATTCTCTGTTTTACTCATCATTTCAGAATTTTCTTTTTTCACTCTGAATGATAATCCACTAGAATAGATAGAAAAGTATCGCACAGCATTTAATTATCTCTAATAACCACAACCTGGAGAACAATTAACAATGATTATCACCTTAAAGTTTAGGAACTTGACAAGTGGGATATCCCTGGTCCCATTGCGGCTGGGAAATGCAGCAGAATGCTGCACTGAGTTGAAAACATATTTCTTTTAGAGAATAAAGAGTAGCTCATTTCATTTGAAATGGGCTTTTCAGTAAGTGCTCCTTTTACCGATGCTATCCCTCCAGAATGCAGGAACCACAAATATTGCATCCAAACAAAGAGTGTCTGTCCAGAATTAATCCAAGACTCTCTTCCACACCAAAATAATTGGGGAGTGATTCTTTGATTTATTTCCAGTTAGACTCAGAATGCAGACACCACACACACACACACACACACACACACACACACACACCCAACTGCAGTTATTCCATTCAGTGCCAATAACGGCCACATCACAGCCATCAATGCGATGCAGCAATCATCCAAGTCACCCATTCTCATTACAGACGCCCAAGTTTGCTCACACCACTGATGGGTCTACATATAAAAATGACCTTACCCACAACAGTCTTCCAAATTATTCTCCTCTGGATATCAGTCGGTAAGGCAATTGCTGGTCATCACAATGCGTATTCAGAAAAATCCACGTTTTACTCCCGTGTTCTTTTTCTTGTTTTGGCTAGCAATTAATATTGTGAACAAGATACCCATTCACAAATGCCAAGTTCACCATAAAGGCAGATAATTCCATACAGATCTTCCCTACAAGACTGTCTCCAGTTAGTTCTCAAAGTGCCCGATTGTTTAGTGACGATACCATCCAGGTGCAGAGCAGAGAAGGGGAAAAAATACTAGGAGGCAAAAAAGAAGAGGCAGAATAAAAAAGGAGAGACTGAAGGAGGAGAGATCAGAAAAAAAGGAGAAAAATTTAAATGTGTGGGGTTTTTTGTTCTTTTGTTTTTTGTTTTTTGTTTTTTTTTTGTTTTTTTTTTTCAGAAGGAAGGAAAACGGACGATAAGTGAAGAAGTCTGTGAGCTCTATGACAAGAATCGGAGTCTCGCTTGCAAATCTTCTGAATACATATAGCCTTTCAAATCTTCCTGGTCCCCAAGTAAAATTTCCAGATCCGGGATGCAGCCATAAGAATCCTATGTGTATTTCACAAGTATCCCGCAATAACAGATCCGACGGGGTTTTCCTTGTACAGTACTGCTATGTGAAAGCACACAACCCCTGCTGTTTGAGAAGGTGTCTCCTGGGTCCTAGCTCTCTTCAGCAGACCCCAAAAATGATTTTTCAAAAGAGAGTGGGTGGGGGGAAGCAGCTTTGCGTTTATCTTGAATGATGCTAATCCTGAGCGAAAACGACAAGCAAACCGCGAGCAGCACGAGATCTTGATTAATAGCCAGAATCCACTCAAAATATCCCAGGGAAGAATAAGCAAAAACAAGAAAGAGAAACTGCAATGCATAAATGATTCCAGTGTTTCTACACGATCGGTTCATTTGATTGAATGCATTCTCTGGGTTTGCTGCAAGTCATAAAGAGGATAGTATTACTGCCACCCAATGGATATTTTAGTACTAGCCAATCCACAGACAGCCACCGCTTTGCGAGTTTTAGTTTGCAGAAGACCCAAAGAGGAAGGACGGTAGCCTGGGAATCTTTCGGAAAGGACTCTGGAAGGAATAATGGGAATCTGTCCTAACAGGCTAATGTGGCCCAGCCAATTGGACGTTTACCCAGGCTTGCATTAGCCACCTTAGAATTGTGCTTACGTTTTTTTCTAGGCAGCTGAAAGGTACAGAGAGCCATGCCTGGTCTAACACACTCATAACATCCTTCTTTCGTCTTTTCTCTTTGAAGATTTATTATAGCACGATCTCTCTCTCTCTCTCTCTCTCTCTCTCTCTCTCTCTCTCTCTCTCTCTCTCTCCCTCCCTCCCTCCCTCCCTCCCTCCCATTAAAAAAGTGGGTGACGTGAAAAGACAGCTCAGTGTCTCAGGTGGCAAGGTGACAATCATTCCTAAAGGGCTGTTTTGCACAGTGTTCCTGGCTGTATTGGTATGTAAACTGTAAGTCCTTCAGGCAATTACCCTCCCAGCAGGAGCTGCTCCCTCAGTTTGTGGAGGAGCAAAATCTTCCCTTCAAGCTGGGGATTTGGGAAAGGAATGATTGGGTTGGGATCCGCTTGAGCAGAGGGGGCGGGGAAGAGGGTAGAGAGTGGGAAGAGAAACTGACAGGATGGGATAGAAGAGGGTCTGCTTCCCAAGCAGCAAAGATTTCCACACTTCATTAGCGTTCACTGCATTTTTTTTCTGAAACAAATTTGTGTTGAGGGGTGAGGGACAAAAGCAGGTACTTGTAGATGAATAAGACTTACTTAAAGTCCCTAGCCTTTTTACCTTGAGATGCTATGAAACTCTTAATGCTGTGATTCCCAGACTGTAATGCGTGCACTTTGGTTCTGTAGATGTAGTGTGAGGCCTGAGAGCCTGAGTCTCTAATAAGCTGGTCCATGGACTATAATAACGCTGTCAGGTTACATACTGCACTTAGAGTACCAAGCCCCTGGGGATGTGAGCTTATTTACACGGCAGTGGCAGCATTAGATTCTGACAATGTAGTAAACAGGGAAAGAGCATAGATAAATGCTTTTCTGCCACCATCCCTCCTTCTCCCCACACTTCAGCCTTTCCCATACACTCAGTGCAGTGCCGACTCAAAACCTAAACCTACTGAACAAGGTTTTCCTCAAGCTTTTTAACTGAAAGACTTCACAAGACACACCAAAGTTAGAAAAGTAAATACGCAAAACAACCTTGTACCTTGAGAACTAGATCCTCGTGTAATTCAGGGACTAAAGCATAAATTGGTGGTAGAATAAACACTTAAAAAATTAGATGAAGTGGGGGGAATTTAATTGGAAGCTAGACCTACTAAGTCAGGGCACAGGTGATGATGAATGACAGCTGGGAGACAGAAAGGGGCGGTCAATCTCTATTTTAATGGAATGTCCATTAAATTGAAACTATAAACCATAAACCAAAATGAGAGATGTTCATTTTCAATACTTACGTGGCTTTTTCTGAAGGGATTTAACCCAGGTTAACCTCTAGTGTGTATATGACCCTCTTCTCTCAATACTCTACACACATGCCACAATTTTCAAAAATCTAAAGGCCAGAGTTTGAAGAGAAAATTCTTATCACTCCCTCCTAGTGAATGATCCATTTTACTATACCACATTGCACAGTTCTTTTGCTGACCCACTTAAGTGAGGAACTAGACTTCCAATGTACTGGAAGCCGTATAATTAACACACTTAGTTGCTTCAAGCGAAATTTAGAAGTAAATGTCTCAGGCCATAGGACAGATTGGAACTAAAATTTATTTCAAACTGGGCATAATCATCCATAGGAATCACTAATCTTTCTTGACCTTAATTTTCTGGAAAATGGCAGTTAACATGACCCTATTGCCAAAGTATGGTTCAGGTCCTCATGAGAGAAAAACTCAAATCCTGTATTTGCAATGATTCTGCAAGTCAGTTTGCTACCAACACAGGGCACAACTTGAAGTATTACCTTGACATGGGCAACAGAGAGCATCATAACACTTGTGCTTTAAAGATACAGGTGAATGCTGGACCAAACCTATTGAAAGAGATGATTTTACATGCTTTTGCCTCAGATCAAGAGAGGAAAGTGTTTGTTTGAATCTGAGGTGAAGCATTGTCTATTCCTGGATCTTACAGAGCCAACTGTGGGCCTCACTGTTTGTTGCCATGGGATCCTCTTTGTGCGAACTGTCGTGAACTGTGTGGGAACATTTTCCTCTTGCCTCCCTTCAGTTCTCTTTCTGACTCTTCTGAAGATATGTGTCAGAACAAACTGTAGCTGCATTATTGCCAATTAAGACTAACGTCAGCTGCAAGGTGCATCTAATTAAGAAATTTAATTACTTCACGGAATTCTCATTTGCAGATGTTTGAAGCATTAAACAATATATTGTGATTTGATTTTAAAATCTGGAAATGGATGACCTCTCTCCACATTGAGGGTGAAACAAATCCTGGACCATGATGGGTGTTAAAAAGAAGACTTTAAGCCAGGTGTGGTAGAATATATATAAAATTTCAGCATTCAGGAGGCTGAGGTGAGAGAATGTAAATTCCCAAGTAGTTTCAGGTACAGACTGAGTTCAAGACTACTGGGTAATATAGTAATATATCCCTTTAAAAAGTGCTTTGATGTACAAAGTATATACCCTGACAAATTGAAAATATGTGATGATATATTCAGAATGGGGCAATAGTATGAATAGCCATAAATGTTTTTATTTTATTTGACCTAAGGAAATCTCAAAACACTGAAAAATTAGTTCAATATTTGAATAGAGTAGCTGCATATTACATAGTTCTCAAATGTTGTTGTCTTTGCCAGTAACAGGATAGTTAACAGTAAGTTTGGTGATGCATTATGGGGATTGTAGGCTAAGTGCAAAGCATTATGGGATTTGTAGTAAAAACTGGCTGCAGATTAATCCATGCTTGTAGCTGTTTTCAGTGGAAGAAGCTGCTGCTCTATTTTCTGATAATAAAGAAAAAAGAGCATTAAGATACAATATAAAATTAATGAAACAAAAATTAGCATTACTAGAATGATTAAATGAGAGTTTTAAGTGCAATAGTATTGTGACTGGAGAGAATACAATAAGATCTACTTTCTCAGCCAAGAAATAATCTGAGTGAGCAGCCTCTTGATATTAATATATTATAGCTGAGATTTAAAAAGCACAATCACATTAATTGTTTGCTGGTAATAGTTGAGAAAATATCAAGCTTATTATCTATGAAAGAAAATAGTGAACAGTGGAAAAGAATTCAAATTCTTACTGATTATATTGGTATCTAAAGTATAATTTCCCACTTTTTATATCATACCTTGGAGATGTGGAGAACAGTTTTAGTGAGCCATTTTTAGGTATTTTATTATATAAAATTACACTGTATATTCAGAGTAGGTCCTCAAAGCTAGAAATATGTTTGGAGTGAATTATTTCACTCAGTTCACATTTAATTAATTATGGTAACTTATAAAGTAAATTATAATTCAGTTCATTTTTGTATGTAGGTGATTCTACATATATAAGTACAGTTTGCATAGGTTTTCATTGAACTCTGTTACCATTTCATTTCAAAGTTCAATAAGCATTTTGTGTATGAAAGGAATTCACAGACTAACTTCCCAGTAGTGCTGAATGAAATCAACACCTTTTGTTATAAACACTAAAATACAACTCTTCAAAGTCTTTGAAAGTCACCATTATCATGCTAAGTTACTTAGAAGGTACTTTATACCTGAGGTTGATTCCTTCTCTCCTTTGCTCCATAAAGAGGCCTCCATGCACAAAAATATATTATTACAGATGTGAATAAATGCACAAACAAGTGCCCTCCATTTTCAGGCCTTTTGCCAGCAGCATCCATTCGAACCCGCCACCACATATTCTCTAATGAGGTACAGACAAAGACTTGAGCATTTCAGCAAAATTCCACCATAACGTTAGGAAATAATAAAGAATGCTGAGAAAAAGCAAACAGCAACAGAAAAGAAAAATGCCATGGCTGCTTTTCTTTCAGATTTCTAAGTTTTGAATCATAAAAATACACAAATATATATCTTCGTGAATGCAGTTTACATTATTGTTCATACTGTGCTTATTTCTTTTATGGTCATAAAAATAAAAGCAATGCCCCAAATGAAACACTATGTACATAAGCGATGCAAATGCATCCCCGGTGGAAAGCCGGCTGGCTGCTGGTGGGAGGGTATATTTATACAGTGCCTTTCATTTGGAAGGTTCCCAAAATGATTTGCAAACTGTATATAGAGGAATTGCTCACCATGGAAATTCACCCACTTCCAGGAGAGAATGCAGAAGTCATTCCATGCTGACAACCAGTTTTAAATAAAACCACAGAACAGGATTTCAGGTGGGTAAAACACTCAAATCATAATTGATTCTTGAAAAATACACTGAATACCCACTATGTGCTGGGTACTGCTTGAGATTTGAAGAATATTTTGGGGGGGTATATCTAGTCAGGTTTCCCGTTTTCCCAAAGCTTACACACAATTGCAATTTAACTGGAATTTCAGAATTAAAAGTTATAGTTCCTGGTAAATTTCTGATGTCTGCAAATAGTTCCACAGAAATAGAATACTTGCTACTTTTGTGTTTATTTATATCTCACTTCATGGTATCCAGGACACATGACCTATGGCAATACTTTCCACTTCAGTCTTAATACATGCCAAAAAGAAAAAGAAAGGGAAAGAGAAAAGACTTCTGATAAGATGGTTTAAGCAGACAGAATGGTACTAACAGTTCCTAGGTTGAGTGATTTGCAAGGTGGTTGGGCGGAATTCCACCTCTACAGCAGTGTTTCTCAACTTGTGGTCTATGACCCCAAGTGGAGGGTTGAATCAGCCTTTCACAGAAGTCACCTAAGACCATAGGAAAACACAAATATTTACA